TTGCCTGCGTATGAAAAAAAAATGGGTGCGTGTACTTATGTAGGCGCGTGAGAAGTTATCCTTCTTTGGCATCGTTTAAAATTAGTTTTTAATTGCATGCAAATAATTAATTACAATAAATTAATAAAAAGTCTGGAAAAGGACACAGTCAATAAAGTTCAGTTTTAATTTGAAAAAATAAATAAATAATCAAAATATTCAATTAAAATCGCTACTGAATATAATTTATTAGAACATATGTGATTTGCACTTGTATGAAACTCAAACACGTATTCCGAATATACAAACTAGAAACATGTGGATAAATATTATAAATATGAATATCTATAACTGTTACTTTATTACAAAAAATAAAGATGTGGTTTTTGGTTCTACTACACCAATGGTCAAGAGATGGCGCTGTAGTCTCCTGAATCGCGCTTTGGTTCCGTTGTTCCAGATTAATAAATACTTTTGATAGGCCTTCACAATGCAGTCGTTAGCACCCACTAAATAGAGATTCTATTTCTATTTTGTTGGTAGATTTTCTTAATGTGCGGTAAACACAAAAGTAACGCATTTATTATTGCATTCGCTTTAGCGACCAACTTCATGCTGTTAAAATTTTGTGTTACAGTGATGCGCGCGCATCTTAAAATTTCACTCTCATAATTTTTTCATAACGCGCCTAAAGAAGTATAACTTCAAAAAGGTCCAGTACGAGTTTTTCAATTACGAAAACTATGATAGTTTTCGAAAGTTCGCTCGTACTAAGGGTACTGATTTTATTGTTTTCGTTTCAATACAAATAAACAGTGTTTAAATTCTATCATTAAATCATTTGCGTCTTCTTAAATTTTAAGTATAATTGGTTACTTTTCGCTAAAATGGACATAGAAACATAATTTACAATTACGAAAACTATGATAGTTTTCGTGAGCTCAAACTCGTACTAAGGGTACAGGTGACTATAATTTGTAAGAGAGAGAAAATCATACTTAATTACCCCTAAAAAATGGAGTTCTTAAAATGTTTATGTCGCAGTCGTAATAAGTAAGGCAAGGGCGGATCCAGCTTTAGCGCCAGGGGGGGTCATATACCCAGCTTTGGCCCAGGGGGGGCGTCATATAGTCGTGGTATATTAAATATTGAAAGTACTTAAATAAAATCCCCCTGGGTTTGGTCCATCTGTACCCAGCCCAGGGGCGGGTCATGACCCCCATGACCCCCCCCCCCCCCCCCTGGATCCGCCCTTGAAGTAAGGTGTCGAATAAAAGAGACAAAAAGGATTGAGAAAGTATCTTGAATTATATTCCGCACGAGCGTATTTTTAAATCTGGCGTATAGGGAGATGTTACAAAATTATTTTTGCCTTCATCGTGCAAGCTACTAATCCTTCCAGTGCAAACGTAGGAAATGAATGTATGCAACGATGTATCTTAACCGTCATTGTATGTAATTCTTTGAAGCATATATAAGACAATATCTTTTAATGGAAATTGTAAAAGTAATCAAACAAATGTGTTGCTCTGAAAACAAAGATTTTATTTAAGTATGTATGTAGGTTAAAACATTTATTATTCACCACACTTTTTACTATCTACTATAAATCATACTAACTTACCTGAAAACAGAGAAACGACATTTAAAGTCTTTTACTTAATACAACAATTCCTTCCTTTACAATAATATTTAAAATAATCAAATGAAAATATCACGGCTCGTTCTGTCAAAGCGACACCATCTGTCAAATGACAGTATTATTATTATTATGGTCGCCAGAGAGCTATACAAACTACTTAAGAAATAACAAATTAAAGAACTGACTGTAAAGTGGTTCTCTACACAGATCTTTATATATATAATTCTTCTGTGAGTGTGTATGTCACTGAACTTCTCTTAAACGACTGGACTGATTTTGATGAAATTTTTTGTGTGTGTTCAAGGGGATCTGAGAATGGTTTAGATTCACAATTTTGTCCGCCGGACAACCGCTATTTTTTTAGGGCGGTACGAAGTTCGCTGGGTCAGCTAGTAGTAATATAACATCGTAAGAAATTCGTAAAATTTGCAATGAATGTATCATCATCATCAGCCTATTAATGTCCCCATTGCTGGGACACGCACAGGCCTTCCCTAAGGATGGAATAAAGAGATTGGGCCATGACCCACCACGCGGGCCCAGTGCGGGTTGGTGGGTGCTAACGACTGGAGATGCAACCGGGACCAACGGCTTAACGTGCCTTCTGAATCACGGAGGAGCTCGAGATAGTAAATTTTTGGTCACCCATCCAATGACCGACCACTGCGAAAGTTGCTTAACTACAACGATCGCAGCCGAACGCGTTAACCAGTTGCACCATCGAGCTCCTCCTAATGAATGTATGTTTGACGACCTGGTCGAGTGGTTTGTACGCCGCGTTTCATGGTGTCGCCGACTCGGGAGGTCCCGGGTTCGAATCCCGGTGGGGGCAGATGTTTGTGAGATGAATATGAGCATTTGTACTCCAGTCATGGATGTTTGATATGTATTTCTATATAAATATACTTATATATGTACCGTATTGTATTCTATCCGTTACTAGCATCCCATAACACAAGCCTTACAGTGCTTACTTTGGGGCTAGCCTAATTGGTGTGTTGTAAAAAAAATGTATAGTTTCTCAATAAGCTGCCTTAGATACTACAATGCACCTTTTCAAACGAATAAAATTAAATATACTTACATTACAATGTAATTTGATGAACTCCGTGGCCGAATGGGTTGTACGCCGGGTGTCAAGGTATCGCCTAATCGAGAACTTTTCCCGGGAACTCGAGGGTTCTGGTTCGAATCCCAATTCCAGTAAGGACAGATTTTTGTGTGATATATACGAGCATTTGTACTCCAGTAATGTATGTTATGTATTTCTATATAAATACTAGCTGTCCCAGCGAACTTCGTACCGCCATAAAAAAATAGGGGTTGGTGGTCGAATGGTGAAAATTTAGGGTTGTATGTATTTTTGTATGATGTATCATAAAAAAAAATAAAAAAAAATATCTAAAATTGAAAAAAAAATAGGGGTGGATTACCCTTAACATTTAGGGGGATGAAAAATAGATGTTGTCCGATTCTCAGACCTATCCAATATGCACACAAAATTTCATGAGAATCGGGAAAGCCGTTTCGGAGGAGTTTAACCACAAACACCGCGACACGAAAATTTTATATATTAGATAGATAGATACATATGCATCAGTATATGTATACTATCCGTTACCCTAGTATTCCATAACACAAGCCTACAGTGCTGACTTTGGGGCTAGGCTAATTAGTGCGAGTGTTGGAAATATTTATTTATTTTAATATTTATTTACTAAACAGGTCAAAACATTGTGGTGGAACCTTAAGAAACAATCATTAAAAGCTATTTTTTTAATGATGACCTCTACGATAGCTTTTGGTTGCTGTATTTGAGGGTGACGCTGACGGGACGAGTGATGACATAAGACAAAATAACAGTGGGGGGACCACCGACCATAGACAAGGATGTTCATTATAATCTTATTCTAAGATGTCAAGGACGCCACTGGTTTATTTAGTAAAAATAGAATGCGTAGAATCACGGGTATTCCCCTGAAAATAAAATATTGTTGCCGCTCGTCCTCGACACGTTTTACATATTTTATCGTAGAATGCAAAAATACAAATACACGATAAACTACGATTGACGACCATGAAATTTACTGTCGTGAACGTGATCGTAAGATATCTGTGATGTGACGATAAATCACTGTTCTTATTTTTATCATTTCTAATGTTTGGAGTTCGTTAACTAGTCAGCATTTTAATGTATAAGGCCGTATACAGAAAGAAAGCCGAAAGCCGATCGGCGCTTATCGGCGCCGATCCTTCCTACATAAAGGAAGCCGATTAAAGCAGATCAAGCAAAATGTCGGACTCATCGGACGATGATTTAAAAATGCGAAAAAAAGCTATACATCCTATAAATAGAGAAAGGAAACGTTTCGGAGGATACCATCATTTATTTAAAAAAAAATGAAATTTGATGAACAAAGATTTTATACATATACAAGAATGACTCTAGAAACATTTTATTACATTTTGGATTTAGTGAAAACCCGTTTGATGAAAAATTGGTGCAATTGGCATAAACAACCAATCCTTCCAGAAGAAAGACTTGTTGTCACCATCGGTAAGTACGAAACAAATAATTTTAGCGCTTAGTTAATAAAAGATAAAGTTATTAGATTTATAAAAACATTATAACTTATATTGATTTAATCTAAGGATAATAATTCCAATACAAATTATTTATTATTCGGATCAGCGCGTGTCGGCGCTCATCGGCGCTTATCGGCGCTGGTCCATAGAAAAAGGATCAGCGCCAATAGGCGCCGATAAGCGCTGATCGGCGCTGATCTGCGCCGATCGGCTTTCGGCTTTCTTTCTGTATACGGCCTAAGGGTGCGGCCAGAGTGCACTCAGATTCAGAGTCAGATTCAGATTCTGAAAACAAGCGCGAGAAATAAACAGTGTAGTCTAAGCAGGTTGCCTGCTTTTTCTCGCGCTTTGTTTTCTGAGTCTGAATCTGAATCTGAATCAGGAGTGCAATCTGGCCGTACCCTTCGACTACACTGTTTATTTCTCGCGCTTGTTTTCGAAATCTGAATCTGAGTCTGAATCTGAGTGCACTCTGGCCGCTTTAAAATATTTTTAAGTGGAAATAAGAATTGACCTTTCTGTGTACTGTGGTAAGGACGGTGAATTTTAAATAAACAAGAACATTATGCATTTAATAAATATTTTAATAGTTTATTTATATTACAACGAAATACATTTGCAGTACCAATAATTCTAATAAGTAAACAATATTTACAATCATATAAAAATAATAGAGCCATTCATAAAGACTAAAATTGTACATCAACATGGTTTTGGTTATAATAATTTAGTTACTAATTATGTATGTATTTGGTACTATTAGTTCAGTCTTAGCTTTTAGTGTTCAATTATATCATGTATACTGCATTCCGGGATGTTTATTCCAAAATATTGAAGTCATGGTAGTGTCGGTGGTCCTGTGTAATTGGAAAATTATATAATTACATTAATTAATTCATTGCAATAAGTGAACACCAATCTCCGCTGCAATAAAGAAAATTTTACTAGATAAAATCCGTCCGCATGAATTTTTTCTAGTAAAATTTTCATTAGATTTTCATATAGCAGTTAAATAAAAATATAACTCTGATATAATAATTTAAGTTAGGAGCTCGCAGACACAGCGCTTAGCGTGTTCGCAAATTGTCGAAGTTGTGTAACTTTGAGGGCCATCGCGTATGAATCCGCCGCTAGAGGCGCTAGTGTAGCGTGAGGTCTCCGAAATGTCAAATGTTATTGCTTGTTGGTTGACTACGCGGGTTTATTTCTAATTAAAATAATGTTGTGAATAATTGGTAACAATTCGGCTTAATTATGGCAAATATGAGTTATGTGGCAATGAATGTCAGTTATTAAAAATATGAGCTCAGAAAAATGATTATGTTCCCATTTTTTTCCGAATAAAACGGAACTGGGCGTCACTGTGGCATGGCCTATTATGTTTAGGATATGGTTCTTTTGTGTTAAAATACGATCTAAATGTAACCTTTGATTTCATATGTGTATTAATAAACTTTAAAAGTTACAATTTAGGACCTCACTCAACAGTGGCGCCATCTGGTGAGACAGAAAACGGTAGCCCTCATTAGCGGATGGGTTCAACAAAAATTATGAGGTAGGTAAGTCTTCGTTGGTCTTGCTTGTGGCTGTATCTGCAGTCGTTCAGTACTTATTTACCACGTACAGACCACGCTTTTTTTAATTTTCTTGCTATTATTTTCTACCTAGACCGTAACTATAGGTAGATTTATTTTTAAAATAACAGTTGCCCGTGACCTTATTAGCGTAAAATACGTTTTGAGTGTAAAATTGTAACAGACAAACAAACACCTTTAAAGTAGGTAGGCTACTTTCGAATTTACAATATCAGTATGAATGTTAAATCTTGTACGAATAAGTCTTATCGGATATGCGACCGATAATTTTACAATCCCTCGCTTCTGTATGCTTCGGAAGGCAATTTAAGCTGTTGGTCCTGGCTGCATCTGCAGTTGTTATCCTACGTTTATATAAGAGTAACAGAAGTAAATGAAAATAGAACGGCGATGTGACAAGTTTTACTGCCGTCCGAGCGCACATTGTGTTATTTCACCTCAAAATTACCACTCCCTTGATTAAAGGTGAATCAGATAAAGCTCTTCATTCTAAGCGCAAGATTAAAACTCCCACGATTCTAACTATAATAGTTTCGACGAAATCCCGGTTTTTCTTTTTTTGTACCACATTGTGAAAAAGAAATAAAATTTTTTTTTTGTCTAAACTATTACATTTATTTTATTTTTTACATTGTATTTCAAAAGGTATTATTTTTATCCATATTATGAGTCATCTATGGCTGCCCTAGAGCTTGTAGGAACCGAGAAATCGGCGATTTAGTGATTTTGGTTTTTAATTTTTTGTGCTCATGTTATGCAATATTAAAGCTTATAATTTAGTTCAAAATGTAGCTAATAATGTAGACTATCAACTCAAAAAATAACAAGCTTTAACTCGGTGGTATATAGGAAATATTAAGAATTTAAATTTGTGGGACAATGTCCCACATTTTGAACACTCAATTGTGAAAACGTAGTTATGCTACTTTTTAAATATTATACTATAATAACTATATAAATACGTTGTTATTATATTAGTTACTATTTATATAAGATTATAAATGTGTTTGGTATGTTTGTTACATAATCATCCACTTTTGTGGGCCAACTTGTTTGGATGGAATGTGGCACACAGGCATTAAGTTTTTCCCTATTAAGTGCAAATTAACAAAATTAGTTAGTTAACTAACTAAAACACAAATAAACTTGCCCATATCTTTTCCTTACAGAGTTTCTGTGGCTACTTGCCAACTCCATCATCAATACGCTAGAAAATATCGTCCCAGTAAGAATAAGTATGAAAAAGATATTTTCGTGAAAATCTAAACAAAATTTCGATAGCTTCACGTACACCATGATACAGCGCAATAAAATTTAAAGACAGCAAGTACTTCTTTTAATGAGTAACATTATCCAATTATGTTAATACTTGCAAAAAGTACAATAACTACGTCTTCAAAAAGTGGGACATTGTCCCACAAATTTAAATTCTTAATATTTCCGATATACCACCGAGTTAAAGCTTGTTATTTTTTGAGTTGATAGTCTACATTATTAGCTACATTTTGAACTAAATTATAAGCTTTAATATTGCATAACATGAGCACAAAAAATTAAAAACCAAAATCACTAAATCGCCGATTTCTCGGTTCCTACAAGCTCTAGGGCAGCCATAGAAGACTCATAGTATGGATAAAAATAATACCTTTTGAAATACAATGTAAAAAATAAAATAACTGTAATAGTTTAGACAAAAACAATTTTTTATTTCTTTTTCACAATGTGGTACAAAAAAAGAAAAACCGGGATTTCGTCGAAACTATTATAGTTAGAATCGTGGGAGTTTTACTCTTGCGCTTAGAATGAAGAGCTTTATCTGATTCACCTTTAATTCAATTCAATTCAATTCAATTCATTTATTGCAGACCATAATGGAGATACAAAGGTGGTAACATATAGACAAAAGTGCATTATGGACCCTGTAGTGTAGGGTATCGCAATTGCAAGAGGAAAGGACGTCTTATTCATAATTCCTTATTGTGATATAATTTGTTATATCCAATGAATTAAAACCCATAAAAATTATTTATTCATACTACTCCAATAAGATATTGTATAATTAGATTTATGATTTATGTACAATTATTAATTATGTAAGTATTGTATTATATCTTTTTATAATAAAAATAATATTGTATTTGTTACATTTATTCCATAGTAGTTTTATCATTTAGGTATTCCTGGAGGCTATAATAGCATTTATTCAATAACATTAACTTAATTTTTTTAATAAAAACATTATAATTTTCTTCATTTTTTAAATTTTCAGGTAATTTATTATAGATTGTTATAGACATATTATAAGTGCTCGATGAGCATAATTTAAGGCGAGTAGTTGGAACCATTAGGTTTTTCTTGTGTCTCGATGTATATTTTGAAGGAATGTTTTCTCTTCTAGTAAAAAAAAATGAGTATTTTTTTACAAATTTACAAATCTCAAATATATAAATGCTTGGTAAAGAGAGAATTTCATATTTTTGGAAGTAAGGTTTACAACTTTCAGTTTGGTTAATATTAACAATAATACGAATAAGTTTCTTTTGTAGTGTGAATAAAGAGGATACGTCCGTACTGTTCCCCCACAAGATGATTCCATAGGTAAACCAGGCATTGGCATAAGCATAATATGTGATAAGAGCAGTCTTTAGATCTGTTGTTTTTTTGACCTCTCGAAGTGCATATGTAAAACTAGATAATTTATTTTTTAACATCTGGATGTGAGATTTCCAATTTAAGTTAGTGTCTATAGTTATACCCAGTAATGAAAAATCATTCACACATTCGATATTTTTGTTTTGAAAACTATAACAGAATTTTAGCGGTAATTTTTGACGCGGGTGAAAGGTTATTAATTTAGTTTTATCAAAGTTTATTCTAAGGTTATGTTTGTTTAACCAGTTAAAAGTCTGGGTCATTATTAAATTTAATTTGGTTTGTAAGTTGTTGTTGTTTTTACAAGATGTGAGAAGAGAAATATCGTCCGCAAAGAGGACACACGGTTCCTCTATTGTTTTAGGGAGGTCATTGATATAAATTAGAAAAAGGAGACATCCGATGACGCTCCCCTGAGGAATGGAAGCGTTTATAGTTTTACTTTCAGAGAGAACCTTTATTATTTCTTTGTGTATATGATCAAAATATTCTATTTCAACAAATTGCTGACGGTTTTGCAAATAACTTTTAAACCAATTGTGCGCTGTTCCGCGAATGCCTATTCCGTATAATTTATTAAGTAGTATTTTATGATTAACACTATCATATGCTTTCGACATATCCAATAGAATTCCAATAGCATATTTTTTATCTTCTATTACTTTAATTATTTGCTGAACATATTTATAAACAGCCAAAACTGTAGACCGTTTCTTCCTAAAGCCATTCTGGCTTTCATCGAAGATTTCAAACTTTTCGCAGAACTTAATAACACGATCATTCATTGCTTTTTCAAATATCTTTGACGAAGTAGACAGCAAGGCGATGGGACGGTAATTGTTAGGATTTGATTTGTCATTTTTCTTATGGATAGGCTTGATAATTGTTGTTTTTAGTAATGTAGGGAAAACACCTTCTTTGAAGGACTGATTAATCAACATTGTAAATGGCAAAGTTAACTGATCGGCACATTCCTTGATTAAGCGGGGCGGAAATTCATCAAATCCATAGCTATTTTTATTTTTTAAATTCCTAATGATTTTCCTTACTTCGTAAGGTTCCACTGGGCTTAGAAACATGGTGTTAAGCGTAGGGTTGAGCACGTGAGTACCACAGCCGCTATCAGTCGACAAAGTTGATTCACCAACGGAAGAAAAGAAGTTATTAAAAATATTTGCAATGGATTTAGGTTCGGAATACATTATATTGTTATAATTTAGTTTTATATTACATTTATCTTTAATATTTTTCTTGTTTGTCGTTTCATTCACTATACTCCACATAGTTTTAACTTTATTATTAGATTGTTTCATTCTGTTTATAAAGTGTAACTTTTTTGCACATATTATAGATTTTTTAAGTATTTTTATATATTTTTTATAATGTGTTCTTAATATAGGATTATTAGATTTAGTGTTAAATATTTTAAGTAGCCTTTTATGTTGACATGATTTTTTTATTCCTATTGTTAACCAGACTTTTTTATTTTTTATGACTTTAAATTTTCTTTTAGGGATATATTGATTTAGTATTTCTGATAATGTATTGTTAAATGCAGCATAATTTTCATTTATATTTTTATTTTTAATAATTATTTTATTCCAATCAACTAACTGTAATTTTTCTTTATATTCTGTGATTGCTTTTTTATTATATATTCGCTTTTCTACATACCAAGTGCTGTCCTTTACTTGTTTAGGTATCGTGAGTTCAACGTATATACCTGAGTGATATGAAAAACCCAAAGCCTCCACCGAGGTTTTTATGTGCTTACTATCAAAATTGGTAAAGATGTGGTCTATACATGTTGAAGATGTTGGTGTAAAATGTGTCGGTTCCTTAATATGTTGAGTAAATTTAAATTCTAACATAAAGTTTAAGAATTCTAATGCCTTTTTGTTACGATCTAATAAGTTAATGTTAAAATCCCCACCTATTATTACTTTGTATTTTGTATATTTGCTATTTACATAATTCAGAATTTTATTTAATCGGCTATAAAATAAGACCTCCTCCCGTCTGTTCCAGTACATTACAATTAAAAGTATATTTTCTTTAACTAGCTCGATTGCACAGACCTCCAGCATATACTCAATTGACATTTTCTTTATATCATTATTCTCAATAGACTCAATATGCTCTTGCAGTAGGACGCAAACACCTCCTCCTATTCTATGTTTTCTGGAAAATGAGGCAGCTATTTTATATCCATCAATTTGAACCATCTGAAGTTTTTCCTGTGAAAGCCATGTTTCAGAAATACATAATGCATGGTGTGACGGATTTAATCAAGGGAGTGGTAATTTTGAGGTGAAATAACACAATGTGGAGCGTGTCGTTTTATTCATTAGGTCCTCCCAAAATATGGCATGCACAGTGGGCCCGCGTAGTGGGTATGTCATGGCCCAATCTCATTATTCCATCCATAGGGAAGGCCTGTGTCACACATTAAGAGCGGACGCGAGCTGAGACACAGGTAGTTTTCCAATTACAGCACTAGAGCGCATTATGCGGCATAATGCTTAACGTTGAATGTTTTAACTACAGCAACGATTCGCACAATCGAGCACTCTCAAAAGTAATGCTTTCGTGTGATGCGTGCAATCGTACCAACTCAGTGTCAAAAAATTAAGTGTTTTTTCTTAAAGTTGGCATTGATCGAAATGTGTTATTTATCGTTAGTAATATTATTTATTGTTGAAAATTTTTTAAAGCTTTCTTTACATTGTAGTTTTTTTTTAAATAATCAAATTTAATTCAAACTGTGTTAAAAAAATAAATATAAGTATGGATGAAGGTAAAAACATTGACTTTTTTTTCAACACTGAACTTAGCGCACTCTGCTGGAGCATTTGAAAACTAATTCACGTTCCAATTAAGCTTCAGCATAATTCGGCATTGTGCGCCACTGAGTCGCATTATGCTCTGTAATTGGAAAACTACCACATTCGAGAAATATGTATTTGAAATAACTATTGTTGTTACGCATTGACAAATACCGTGCGATAGGGACAACAGTAGTAAAGAGGCGAGGCGGAAAATGTTTTTTGTGCATACAAAAGTTCTCGACTGATCCCTCCTTGATATTTATCACTAAATAATTGACTTTCATACATAAAATATAATTTTATTCATTCTATGCTTCTATATCTTCCTTTTTTCGATAACTTGTGTTTCATAAAAACTAGAAGCCCTCAAAAAAGGTCAAAATTTTTTATTTACTATGCTTCTATGTTTTTTTTTTTGTAAATTTTTTATTGATAAAAATGAAGGAGAGATTGATCGAGAACATTTGTATGGAAAAAACATTGCCCGCTTCTCTCATAGCAGACTGATGATTATGACCTGTGTGGTCGAGTGGTATATACGCCACATTTTACGGTGTCCCTTACTCAGTGGTCCTGGGTTCGTATCTCGGCAGGGACAAATGTTAGTATGATGAATACGACCATTAGTACATGAATGTTTATATATATTTCTATGTTAATATATTTATACAAAGGAGCTCGATGGCGCAGGTGGTTAGCGCGTTCGGCTGCGATCGTTGAAGTTAAGCAACTTTCGCAGTGATCGGTCATTGGATGGGTGGCCAAAAATCTTCTATCTCGAGTTCCTCCGTGCTTCGGAAGGCACGTTAAACCGTTGGCCCCGGCTGCATCTGCAGTCGTTAGCACTCGCCAATCCGCACTGGGCCCGCGTGGTGGGTCATGGCCCAATCTCCTTATTCCATCCATAGGGAAGGCCTGTGCCCCAGCAGTGGGGACATTAATAGGCTGATGATGATGATGATGATATTTATACATTGCGTGTATTCTATCAGTTAGTCTACTATTTCTGAACGAAGAAGTGTGCTTTCTGTGGGGCTCGTGAGTGTGGGAAATATTATTATTACGTATACCTACAGTGCCGCGTATGGCGGGTGCAGCAGCACCGCGTCCCGGTCGGTGCCGGGATGGGTGCCCATGCGGTCGGCGCGCAGTATATACCTACAGTGCCGCGTATGGCGGGTGCAGCAGCACCGCGTCGCGGTCGGTGCCGGGATGGGTGCCCATGCGGTCGGCGCGCAGTATATACCTACAGTGCCGCGTATGGCGGGTGCAGCAGCACCGCGTCGCGGTCGGTGCCGGGATGGGTGCCCATGCGGTCGGCGCGCGCGGCGCACAGTCTCGCGGGTAGCGCGGGGTCGCGGTATATCAGTATGTCCCCGCTCGCCCCCACCACCAGCACGTAGTGGCCCCGGTACCCATCGCGCATGCCCAGCCAATGCCTGACCGACAAAATGTATAGCTATAGTAGATACAGTGCGTTTCAAACTCTATGGCGGTGGCATACACTTACCCCCTTATTAATAAACGAAGACAAACCTTGGACTGGTTACTCTATGTCTTGTCTCTGTTCATTGAATGACAGATGGCACTTGAGTGATATAAACAAAACACGGGGTAAATAGTCTATGCTTTTTCCTCGTTTATAATTAAGGGGGTTGGTGTTTAAATTAATATTGCCATTGAATTGAATAATACTCTAAAATTATCATATTAAATTGCCTTTAAATTAACACAGTAAATTAACATAAAATATTTTATTTGAACTGACATTGGGTATTGTAATAGGGATGATGATTATTTCTTTTCTTCGTTTATCAGGTAGATTATCAAAAAGTATTGGACACGTATTTTTTGTTTTTTCACATAATATAAACATTGCAGAGATATATTAATTTGAAAAGTCGCATGACGTCACGTTTTGGTACAATTTTCACTTAAAAGTGACGTCACGAGCCCCTACTCCCAAACTTTGAAGCGCTATAACTTACTCATTTTTTGGTTGATTGCCCAAAGAAAAAATACGTATTCATTATTTTTTGATCATCTAACTGACGGACTAAAAAGATTTTCATTTACTGTACCCTGTCATCACCCCTATTAATATTAACATAAATTTAAATAATAATGATAAAATAATTGTTATTGGTAGGTTGGTATGTAATATGACTGTTATGTTTTAATATAATTAAATTTTTTGGCATGCTATTAATATGGCTAAATAAGTTTAATTTTCTTAGCTTAACATATGCTTTATATGCCAACACCATTTGTCAACCTTATTCAATGCAAATTCTATTATATTCTAAAGACTGAGACAGTAAGGAAAAGATATATCATACCCTAACGACAATCCTACAAGGTACAGAGACGCAACATGATGTACCCTTGGTCCAATAATGTAGGAGCCAACAACGTCCAGTCTAGCAAAAATTGTAATAAAGTTTATTATTAAATTCTGTGAAACTAAGAAAGCAATTGTGCTTATACATTTCAGTTTGTGTTATAGTATGCTGTGTTTTAAGCATATCTTGACAGAACGACATCAAGGGCGGATCCAGCTTTGGCGCCAGGGGGGGGGGGGGGGTCATATAGTCGTGGTCAAGTCACAGTGGGTACAGATTGTGAAGTGGGTACAGATGGATTCATTGACAATGGATAGGCGTATGAGTAACCCTTTCGTGTCAGTGCTGCCACCTAGTGTCCGTGACTCCAGAAACCCCTCATGTGTATGTACCTGTTGTCTCGGTCATAATAGTCGTGGTCACAGTGGGTACAGATGGACCCAGCCCAGGATCCGCCCTTGAACGACATTATCACCTACAATCAAACACCGATACGCAAATACGAACAATTAAATTTTTGGAACCCTAGCGATAGGCACTCTGTCTATCTTCACTTCCTATTTCTTATATCTATGGGCGGTGATAAAGTTAGCATCGAGTGCAACTACACTCAGATTTCAGGTCAGTGATTTCCCGGGCACACCAACATCATCTTACATAAGTAACTACATCGATACAAAACAACTGACAGTTGTGAAGTTAGCGCGAGTCGCGATGCATTAAATGAAACATGTGTGAGTCGAGTCCACCTGCGCATAAACGGCTACACTCGCTACTAACTTCGCAAGCATCATAAAGTTAGATTCGGGGACTTTGAAAACACGTTTATATTTTAAAATATTACTTAGTATAGAATAATAATTAGGCTGATTCATACCAGTCTTTCCACCAAAATCTATTAAAAAACAGTATTATCCTTATGATGCTCCTTAAATAGTGAAAGTGAGTAACTGCTGTCAAAATTAGTTTATAAAAGAATCTGATCAGTAATAGGCTCACTAAAAACATTATTAAGTATTCGGACTATTTGTGAGATTGAGGTAAAAATAAAAATACACAAAGTTTCACATTTATTTATACATGTAGAACAGAGGCCCAAGCAGGAACTCTGCCAGCTCCCTAATCATATCGCATCGTCAAAGTTTCTATGAAAACTAATCAGCCAGGACAGGCCATAAGAACAAACTGGAGCTCTATTTTTGAATTACTCGTCTGACATAGTATCGTCGAATGCGACATAAGTCACCTTCGACTTTCAAGTCGCATAATACTGATTTTCCGTATTTTTGAATCATTCGTCACCAGTGTTACCTGTATAATAGAAAATATTTCACGCAGAAAAAATAAAAACCGATTATAACCGCAATGAAAACTGAACAAAAAATTTTCGTTGTCATTTCATATAAAGCATGACAACGATAGATTATCGTCGTTTAATAGCACAAAAAATTTGACAATTATTCTATCATTCGCCTCCACCGTTCGCCATGCAGCGAGTGGTCTCACCCATTCGTTGCACTCGAGCGATTCAAAAATACGGAATTAATTATGTCGAATGAAATTAAGTAGAAATCGCGCGTTCGATGCAAGACGAGTGATTCAAAAATAGTGCTCCTGGCTCCTTCCACAATTTGTCGATATGATTACGGAGGGAGCTGTCAAAGTTAGTGCCTGGGCCCTTGGAAGCTGTCGTGTGCACGTACTTGAGTTGCAGCGATAACGTTTGCGGCCGGCACCACCGACAGTGCAGCCTGGCCGCGTCCACCAGCAGCAGCGCGGGCCCGCGCCGCCGCACGTGCCGCGCCACCTCCGCACCACTTACCACCCCTCTGCGGACCTCCACCCCATACCTCGCTGCCTCGGCAAACTTGCGGACCACGCGCGAGCGATCCTATACCGCAATACAACGCATTAGAGCATTGCATTTATTAAATCAATTATTAATTTCTGGTTTCCTAAACATACGCACTTAATATTGCCGCCATGTAAACCATGCGAAAAATGTGATAAGATACCTACCTACGCACAACCGACTACGCGCACTGGCTCCGGCTCATGCATTTCGCTGTTTTTGTCGGCTCGTTTCGTTATGGTTATTTTTTTTTTACGGAAGGCATGCACACACACACACACACACACACGCTACACCAAACACTTACGTACACACTCATTTACACAAAGTAAGTTATCATGCTCCTTTTATAATTTTGATTTATATAGGTATTTATATTTATCGCAAAATTAATTTGAATCTGTGTTGGTATTTCTTTTATATTATTGTTAATTTGTAATTTCTACCCTACGTAATCATTTTAATTTTTAAACTGAATACAAAGTGAGTTTCTGTAATTGGTTAAAGTACCGTTTAAAATTTTATATTAGATTATATTGTGTAAAACGCTGTTGAAACTTGTTGATGATAAATAAATAAATAAAATAGAGTCATAGTCTTACCAGCAGCAGGTAGATACCACCCCGCTACAGACCTCTACTCCATACCTCCCAGCCCCAGCCTCGTCGAACTTACGGGTCACACGAGAGCGATTTTATACCGTCGTAAAACAACGTACTAAATTTGTAGTCTACCAGCAGCAGCCATTTTTTTTCCTTATTTTTGATCTCGAAAATAATTGGTTTCCTACACATATCGCTCTTGATTTTGACAACACACGTCGCTAGTCACGAATAAAATCTGCTTGAAATTGCGTGAGAATGCCTCTCTGTTTTGTGTGGCAAGAAAATTGATAAAAAGAAGTCTAAGAGAGAAAAAGAGTCGATTTTTTCTAGCTCAAAAAAAGGTCTATGTCTAACAAATTCAATGCTATACTATCTCTTATCTATTAGACAAGTCCGTCCGTCCGTCCGTGGTGCTGTTTCAGCGGCCAAACCGTAAGAGATAGATATAGAGAATGTTTAAGTTATAAGTTAAGAATAGTCTGATAAGACTACAAACCGGATGTGAGTAACGTAGCACTTCCGGTTTTCGAGAAATCACGTAATTTCTATTTCAAACGAAACCACACAAAATCTCAGATTTTCTCAATTAATTAAATACATTTTTTTTTTGGTGAAGATTTGATTCACTGGTTTGCTAGTATACTATATTTAATTACAGATAATATATCTATATCTGTTATTAAATACAATTACATTAACTTATAAAATTCACATACAAAACTAAAAAAACTTAACCCATGCTCAAAGGCAACTTCAACAAAAAGTTGAGTACAAGTATGGTCAAAGTTCATTGTGATTGAATGCCGACGTCAAAGTGCACTTTTATTGTTTACATAATCAAAGTAGTCATCAAAGCTACTTTGTCAAAGCAGACTTTGAGTACATCAATGGCTTTAGACACTCACCAAGTCCAAAATCCTACTGTAATAGGCGAGTTTCTTGTAGTCCTCGTTAACACCAGGCATGGTGGTGTACATAGTGTGCTTGATCCCAAATCTGGACAAATAATAATTCATCATCATCATCATCAACCTATTAATGTCCCCACTGCTGGGGCACAAACCTTCCTTATGCATGGAATAGTGAAGCTAGGCCGTGACCCACCACTCTGGCCCAGTGTAGATGGGTGTGTGCTAGCTAACGGCTGCAGATGCAGCCGGGACCAATAGCCTAACGTGGCTCCCGAAGCACGGAGCTAGAGTTATAATAATTTTTGGCCACCCATCCAATGATTAACCATTTCGAAAGTTGCTTAATTTCCAGGATCGCAGGCCAAACATGCTCACCAGGTAGTGCGTGGCGCCATCGAGCTCCTCGTAAAATTAAGTACATGATAAAATATTAGACTTTATTTCTACATTGTTAATTTCATGTTTTATGGAAACTAAAAGCCCATCATATTAGTGCACCTCACATATTATGGGAGAGAGGAGAGTCATTGCAAAGAAAATTAGTGCTGCAGAATGAATGGTGTATTTTTTTTTATTTTTTTTTAAAGATAGGTCCGATTAATTGCACCCCACCTGATGTTAAGTGATGGTGAAGTCCAGACATGAAGATAACTGAATAGACGATAGACATATATCAGACAATATCATATTTATAATTTACTAGAGGTCGCCCGCGACTTCGTCTGCGTTAACTAAGTTTCTTGGAAATCCCTCTGGAACCTAACATTTTTTTCGGGATAAAAGTAGCCTATGTGTTAATCTAGGGTGTCAGCTAACTCCATACCAAATTTTATTAAAATCGCTCCAGCCGTTTAGACATGAAGACGTAACAAACATACACACTCACATACTCACAAACTTTCGCCTTTATAATATTAGTGTGATTTGATTAATGAACTGTGCATGTCTTAATCTCATTTAAATTGTTATTAATGAATTCTATGTTAATGTAATTATTAATATTTTGAATTTTTAATGTATGGTTGCTGTGTACTTGTATAAGCATGCTGTTTGCACATGCTAGTGGAGTATAGTATTTTTATCAATTGTTTATCTTAGTGTATTTTGCCATTTTGCTTGCTGTAACTCTGTTTTGTGCAATCTATACTTATAATAAATCTGTAGAGATGTCAATTCTGTACATGAAATATATTTTTAAAATAACTATCAGGGGATGATTAGTGATCGATACTGATGCCAAAAATGCAATCAGTAAAATTTTTGTCTGTCTGTCTGTCTGTGTGTATGTTCCTTATAGAAACAAAAACTACTCGACGGATTTTAACGAAACTTGGTACAATTATTCTTCATACTCCTGGGCAGGTTATAGTATACTTTTCATCACGCTACAATCAATAGCAGCAGAGTAGTGAAGGGAAATGTTGGGAAAACGGGAGAAGTTACTCCAGTTTTTAAGCTTCCGTCGCGGGTGCAGCCTTAATGGTTAAAGTTACATAGAAATCATGTATGACGAAAATATTCTACATAAAATTGTCTAAAAAATATCCTGCAACAGCATATGTCTATCTTTTATGGTTGACTCACAATAACACGTGTAATTATATAAATAAAGTCATTCTTTATAGCACAAGCCTGAGAACAAAAACTATAGTTTACACTACAGCTCTACACCGAAGCGAAGCGAGGGCGGGCCACTAGTAAATAAATAAATAAAATAAATATCACCAGCCTGAACCCCTTTGCCTACCTATATTTGTTAGTGATGCTAAATTTCTTTTTTTGTTATCAAACCATGATATGGGTTACACTTTTTGCAATACCTTAAAGCAGGGCTGTCCAAACCATGGCCCGCGGGCCGCGTGCGGCCCGCGGATTGGATTATTGCGGCCCGTAGAATCTTTGTTATCTTCTTTGTTTAAATACATTAATGAGCAAATTATTTTTATCGTGACGAAATTCAAATGTTTAGGTATGTTCGATCACGTCGCACACATCACTATTCACTCGAGAATTCGGGGAATTCCCCGAACGCAAAATAGGTACCTACCGCGCATCGTTCATTGGACATTGTTAGTCACTTGTCAACGCGACGAAAGTTTTGATTACGCAAGGTTACTCTCAAGTTATTAAAGACTTTTACGTTATTTTTATATTATTAAAGTTTGTTATTACGTTGTTCGCTTTGTGTTGAAGTATATTGAACTTTTAATCTCATCATGTCTGCAAAGAAGAGGAAGTTAAGTGAAGAAAACCGTACATTCAATGCGAAATGGGAGTAAGACTACTTTATCTCCAACAATAACAATAAAATTCAGTATTTGATTTGTATGCAAGTTTTATCTGTAAGTAAAGAATATAATGTTAAACGACACTATACTTCTTTACATGAAGAAAAGTATAAAAAATAAGTCGGTGAAGCAAGAAAAGTTATGGTGGCTGAGTACAAAAAAAACTAGTACAGCAAACAAGTATGTTTTCAAAAGTAAGTACTGAGAATGAACAAAGCTTGGCTGCCTCGTATGAAGTTTCAATACAACAAATAGAGGACATGGGTAATTATATTTCGAAAAGTTTATGTAATTGCTTTGTAGATTGCGAGTACTATTAAATATGTTTGGATGAAAGTACCGACCCGACCGATGTCAGTCAATTAATAATCTTCATACGTTGCATTTCGAAAGATTTTACAATCACGGAAGAAATGCTGGATTTAATACCATTTCATGGAACAACTAAAGGCAGTGATATATTTGAAGCAGTTAACAAAACTGTAGTAGAATATGGAGGATTTCGTAAGTGTTCTTGTATTGTGACCGATGGGGCAAAAGCTATGACCGGGACAGTGACAGGATTCGCGGGACTTCTAATACCGTTGATTGCCCGTTGTTGCATTGTATCACATCAAGAAGCCTTATGTGGAAAATCTTTGCGTCAAATGAATGCTATGAAACTTGTTATATGGATAACCAATTTGATTAGAGGTGTAAACAGGGCATTGACACATAGAAAATTTAGGGCCTTTTTAAGTGAAATCGATGCAACCTATGGAGATTTACTATTGCATTCAGAAATCAGATGGCTATGTGCTGGACAGTGATTATAACGCTTTTTCGCCTTACGAAAAGAAATAACTTTATTTCTAAAAAAATAAATATCATCTGCCACTTCCGAACTACAAGATAAAATGCAAGATCCTCAGTTTCTGCCTGATCTTGCGTTTTTAACTGATATGACGCAACACTTGAATGAATTAAATTTAAAATTGCAAGGCAAAAACCACAATATAGCCAACATGTACGGAAATGTGAATGGATTCAGAAGTAAACTAAAATTGTTCAAAACGTCTCTACTACAAAATGATTTTTCTTTTTTTCCAAGTTATTAGTTATTAGAACATTATTTAGAGATGAAAATTTTTGAAGAATGTAATTTTTTGGAGCACCTCAAATACATGGACGAAATAATCGTCGAATCCGAACGGCGTTTTGCAGATTTAAAAAAAATTGAGAGTGTGAAGATTGATTATTAACTGGAACTGTGTGATCTGTAATCAGACCCCTTTTACAAGGGCAGAACAGAAACAGGACTTGATTTTTTTAAGCTCCTCGCTGAACGTTTCCCGTATTTCGGGCAAAAAATGGGCTCGATGATGGGCAGTACCTACCTTTGTGAGAGTGCATATTCAACAATGAAGCTTATTAAATCGAAATACAGGTCTTCATTGACAGATATTTCACTTAAACATGCACTGCGCCTAGCTTCTACTAATATAGAGGTTGATGTTGACAGAATTTTAAAAGAAAAATTAATGAAAAAGTAGATAATAAATAACGATATTGTTATTACCATTATTTTATTTTTTTAAATATTTTGCGGCCCACCAATGTATTTAGTCATTTTTATTGGCCCTGGGTCCCATCTAGTTTGGACACCCCTGCCTTAAAGGATCCCATTAATGATGTTCTAAGACATCCAGCTCCCATGAGATAACCACTGCAACATAAAGATCAATCAAGATCAACACTGTCAATTTCATCATATTCTAACATTAATTAAATTTTAATAAACCATTGTGTCTTCAAAGATGCAATTGTCTTGTTGCAGGGACAGATTGCACATTAATTTTATTAGCTTATATAATTATTGTCGACATTTGTACTTTAACCAATTTTCTATGTTTTTTCTCTCAATTTGGTATATCTAGTATTGTAAATTATTAATATTGTCAATGTATTATCGATATGGCTATATGGCTGAAATAAATTATTTTAATTTTATTAAGTACCAATAAATACTTTTAAGTATTTTTACCAGGGTATTGTTACTTTTCTAGGATTATTGCCATTACCTCTTCAACAGGTAACAAAGATCGATGGTCCAAGTGGATTGGTTGAACCCCTCCTCTCTGCAGATAGCTGTGAAGTTCTGCAGGAAGTAGTTTCTCTGCTGCTCGCTCAGTAGCATCATCACGCAGGTCACACCGCAGTCCCAGTTGAACCGCTGCTGGCAGTGCACCACATTGTGAACCACCAGCTCTTTCGAATTGTCAGCTGAAAACATTCGAATACCTGTCATATTTGCTTCTGTCCCTGTAGCATGAGTACCACAATTTACATTATATCACGATTTTTATTGCATGTAACTATCATACTCTACAGTAATTTGACGATTGAATGTGATAAAGACGCGCTATGTATCGTATCCTCGATAGTTATGCTAAAGGTATCGAATAACTAAAAAACCCAGTAATCATAAAAAGGAGGCGAGAGTAATTTTATATGAATAATATGGGTTCGATATTTATAACTAAAAACCTTAAAATATATAATAACTAAAATACATTATTATAAGGAGTCCCTTTAAGCAAGGTTCCAAAGATACTGGCAGCGGCCCCTTTGAATAGCTAAAGTTATACGAATGAATGAGAGAGGAGCTCGATGGCGCAAGTGGTTAGCGCGTTCCGCAGCGATCGTTGAATTTAAGCAACTTTCGCGGTGGTCGGTCATTGGATGGGTGACCATAATTTACTATCTCGAGCTCCTCCGTGTTTCGGAAGGCACGTTAAGCCGTTGGTCCCGGCTGCATCTGCAGTCGTTAGCACCCACCAACCCGCACTGGGCCCGCGTGGTGGGTCATGGCCCAATCTCCCTATTCCATCCATAGGAAGCCTGTGCCCCAGCAGTGGGGACATTAATAGGCTGATGATGATACGAATGAATTACTTTTATAGTTTCCGAAGTTTGATACATATGCCAACTTATTTATGAATAGTGCATAGAAACTTAATTTATACTGTAGACTAGATCTACGACAAAACGGTGCAAAACTTACCATTTTTAATGTCAGTTTTAGCTGGTATGTTATCTGTTGTCATTTTTTTCTGTACAGGGGGACTGTATTGCTATTTTAAAGTTCATTATTTGCAAAATAAAATACAAGTTCATTCATTTTGGGTAAAATTCTAAGAAAAAGATATTGAGATTTGAGTTGTGTTGAGATAACGACGAGATAAACAAAATAGTTGACTGTCAATTTTATCGATTACGAACGAAACGCTTTTGTAAACGGTAATATATTTATTTAAATCTTTATGATTCAAATATTGAAACTTAATTTAACTAAATATATTTTCCTTACTTTTATTTATATAAAATACTTATCAGTTCTTTTTTTTACAGTACTTACTAAAATTGGGACACAATGTTAATAACAAATTTGCACGAAACGAAACTCTAATGACATTGACTGGCAGACAGCTGATTTTGACAGAAGGCTGTCTGTACGGCTTTTCTTTCGAGTCTTTTTTCAGGCCGAAAAATCTAAACAAAATAACAATTTACCCTTTTATAATTTTAAAATGGCATTACGAAGAATTTCTCCTAAACTATTAAAGAATATAGGCCCCTACAGTAATTTCATGACGAGACCATTGGCGACACAAACCTTCGAAAAGGAAACCGAGGGACCTTCATCCAAACAGACTCACTTTGGATTTCAAACAGTAGACGAAGAAGAAAAATGGAAAAAAGGTTTTTCTAGAACAATTCTTGATTAAAAGTAAATAATGGTGTGATAGTCATTGTCATTGTGCTAATTTTTAGATAGTAAAACGTTTGTTTTTTTCTGGTTTCAGTCCATGAGGTGTTTGAAACAGTTGCGGATAAATATGATCTGATGAATGATGCCATGTCGTTCGGTATACACAGAATCTGGAAAGACATATTCATGGCCCGGTTAGCACCCACGCACGGAACGAAACTCCTGGATATGGCCGGTGGAACTGGTAAGAAAAAGTTATTATTTTACTTATTTTTGGAATTATTTGATTTCACAAAACAGAATAGAATAAGTTTTCATTACTTAAATATTTAAGCTTCTTACTAAATTAAGAGTTCATCACTCAAGATGATTGTGAAACATTAAATAAATCTCAATGTTAAAAATACATAAATAGTGTTTTTAATATTTTTTCCACACAATCATCTTGTGCGATGAGAACAACTATATTCATTGTGCATCTTTAAATACTATATAAGTCTTAGTGTTTACAGTTTTCTTCCTAGATTATATCGAAATAATTAGTGTAAGCTATGCAATCAGATTATATTATTTTAGTCATACCTAATTTGTTCATTTGTGGCAGGTGATATCACATTAAGATACATCAACTACTTGAAGAACCTCAAGCCAGCCCCCAAAGACAAACAGAGCAGTGTCACTGTGTGTGACATCAACCAAGCCATGCTGGACGTAGGGAAGCTAAGAGCACAGAGGTAAACTACATGTTTACATATTTTTGATTATGGTATATGGATGTCTACAATACTTCCCTTTAGATATAGGCTGTTTTAAAATATATAATTCAAATATCTTCTTAGAATAATTCAGTAATTTCCTACATATCTTTATATATATAATTCTTCTGTGAGTGTGTATGTCACTGAACTTCTCTTAAATGACTGGACCGATTTTGTAGAAATTTTTTGTGTGTGTTCAAGGGGATCTGAGAATGGTTTAGATTCACAATTTTGTCCGCTGGACAATGTTTTTTTAATTAAATTTTTTTATGGCGGCACGAAGTTCGCTGGGTCAGCTAGTCTATATATATAAAACTCAAAGGTGGCTGACTGACATAGTGATCTATCAACGCACAGCCCAAACCACTGGACGGATCGGGCTGAAATTTGGCATGCAGGTAGATGTTATGACGTAGGCATCCTCTAAGAAAGGATTTTGATCAATTCTACCCCCAAGGGGATAAAATAGGGAATGAAAGTTTGTATGAAACTTTGACAATTTTAAACCGATCGTGCTGAGACTTTGAATCATAGATGAATGTCAGTGTATAATACAAGGCTTAGAACAAAAACTGTAGTCTACACTTCAGCTCTACGCCAAAGCGAAGCGAGGGCTGGCTGCTAGTTACTTAAATATTTTTCAAGTAATTGAATGGTGACAATATTTTTCTAAGTAGTAAATCTGTAAGTAACCAAGGGAAAATAAAAATAACAGATGAAACCAACAAAATCAGAAAGTCTTAATCATTATTATATTTGATACTGGATTTGACTTAATGGCATTTCAAATATTTCATGACTCACTCGGAAACAAAAATATATTGATGCTTGTTGCTTAAATATATACTCGTGCTGAGATTCAAACCCAGGACTTTGGAGTGCAAGCTGCCACTGTAGTTTTCATCAACTAGTATTTCCCCTATTTTCTTAAGTAAATTTTAAGTGTGAGTGAAATACAGCTATGACGACCTCCGTGGCCGAGTGGTTTGTACGCTGGGTTTCATGGTGTCGCCCACTCGAGAGGTCCCGGGTTCGAATCCCGGTGGGGACAGATGTTTGTGTGATGAATACGAGCATTTGTACTCCAGTCATGGATGTTAAATATGTATTTCTATATAAATATACTTATATATGTACAGTATATGTATTCTATCCGTTACCCTAGTATCCCATAACACAAGCCTTACAGTGCTTACTTTGGGGCTAATTGGTGTGAGTGTTGGAAATATTTATTTATTATTATTATTTATTAAAGTTAAGCAACTGCTGCTGTTAGGCTTAAATCCGATCCTGACGATATTTTTACGGATCTGTCAAAGTTTGTGCTTGGGCTTCAGTTCCATTTGTATGTTCGACTCAGACAGGGCTATAGTCCTGCGTCGTGCGGCGTGGGGGTGGAGTGGGTGTGCGGCGACGCGGAGAGCTTGCAGCTCCCGGACGAGTCGTACACCGCATACACTATCGCGTTCGGCATCAGGAACTGCACGCACCTCGATAAGGTTAGCCACCTCGCGGAAAAACCCGCTCTGTCACCCATAATGCCAAGGGCGGATCGGGGGGGGGGGGGGGGTCATGGGGGTCATGACCACGACTATATGACGCCCCCCCTGGCGCCAAAGCTGGCTATATGACCCCCCCTGGCGCCAAAGCTGGCTATATGACCCCCCCTGGCGCCAAAGCTGGCTATATGACCCGCCCTGGCGCCAAAGCTGGCTATATGACCCCCCCCCCTGGCGCCAAAGCTGGATCCGCCCTTCCATAATGTCATAATCGCTTACGGTAGCGGCGTAGTAAAAATTCATTCATAGATATGTAATTATCGCTGTCTTACTTTTTCGTATAGCGCTGTCGCGATCACGATGCGGATGACAAATTGCAACTAAAACAAATGCAATTCAATTCATTATTCGATCGATGAATTGCTCTCTGTCTTACTATTGTGCGGCGGCCCGGATTGGCGCGTCCGACGCGAAGGCGGGGCGTAGTAAAAACTACTGTAGAAAACTGTTCAAAGCATTTTGTTCGCCAAGTGACAGAGCGCAAAATTCCGCGATAGTACACCCGGGTATATTATCATTTATCTTAATAGTCGCCTTAAACTTGTCCCCTGTGAAAATCAGGAGGCCTACTCTAATTCAACAAAAATGAAATTTCGGTCTAAACTTCGCACTTTTCTTACTGTTTCTGGTTCGTTTTTAATTATAATAATATTCGTCGTCGGAATATAGATTGAGGTGTAGACTCTAATTTTAGCGCAATACGTAGACAAAGGTTCGTCTCGCAGATGTGGGATAAACAACAACCGAGGTCCTGCAAGTCCTGCTGCCTAAGGGTGCGGCCAGAGTGCACTCAGATTCAGATTCAGATTTCGAAAACAAGCGCGAGAAATAAACAGTGTAGTCGAAGGGTACGGCCAGATTGCACTCCTGATTCAGATTCAGATTCGGACTCAGAAAACAAAGCGCGAGAAAAAGCAGGCAACCTGCTTAGACTACACTGTTTATTTCTCGCGCTTGTTTTCAGAATCTGAATCTGACTCTGAATCTGAGTGCACTCTGGCCGCACCCTAAGGCCGTATACAGAAAGAAAGCCGCAAGCCGATCGGCGCTTATCGGCGCCTGTCGGCGCCGAGCCTTCCTACATAAAGGAAGCCGATTAAAGCAGATCAAGCAAAATGTCGGACTCATCGGACGATGATTTGGTTTTGTTAGAAAATATTTATTTAAAAATGCGAAAAACAGCTATACATCCTATAAATAGAGAAAGGAAACGCTTCGGAGAATACCATCATTTATTTGTAAAAAAAAAAAAAATTGATGAACAAAGATTTTATACATATACAAGAAAGCCGATCGGCTTTCGGCTTTCTTTCTGTATACGGCCATAGAAAAAGGATCAGCGCCAATAGGCGCCGATAAGCGCCGATCGGCGCTGATTGGCGCCGATCGGCTTTCGGCTTTCTTTCTGTATACGGCCTTAGGTGCGTCGCTCACTAATTAATTAATAATAATTAATTAGGAATTCGAGGCAGCGCCGCAGCACGATCAAGAATTCTCTATGTAGAGTCGAGGTGCAGGTTATGCTTCATTTACACGTTCTAACTCATTCGCAATATCGTCGTCTAAAGACGAAGATGTATTGGCACTTATACAAGTCCTTAATTTAATCCGTCACGCAAATTTAAAACGCCTTAAACGGAGCAACACATGAAAGGAAATGACAAAATGGCGGTGGATTATGACTTGAGCGTCTGCGCTGCATCGCACCTCGATTTTACTTCGCCCGCACCTTGACTCCAGTATATGAGCGCACTGGCATTTATTTTTAAAGAAGTCTGCCTCGACTGTCGAGTTTGTGAGCGACGCGCTTAAAGCACCTCGCTCGACAGACGGACCGCCGCTACGGTTTGGTTGTTAGTCCAGTCCACCAAACTAATTGGCTTTCAGTTTTAGTTATCATCATCGTCAGCCTATTAATGTCCCCACTGCTGGGGCACAGGCCTTCCCTATGGATGGAATAGGGAGATCGGGCCATGACCCACCACGAGGGCCCAGTGCAGATTGGTGGGTGCTAACGACTGCAGATGCAGCCGGGACCAACGGCTTAACGTGCCTTCCGAAGCACGGAGGAACTCGAGATAGAAGATTTTTGTTCACCTATCGACCGACCACTGTGAAAGTTGCTTAACTTCAACGATCGCAGCCTAACGCGCAAACTACTGGCACTATCGAGCTCCTCCAGTTCTCTCTCTCTCTCTCTCGTTGGTGATCGTGTCATTCGCCGTCTCATTTAGAATCTGTTTATCCTCAAGGTACTGGAGGAAGCGTACCGCGTGTTAGCGCCGGGCGGCCGCTTCCTGTGTCTGGAGTTTAGCCACCTTCCCAACCATACGTTGCAGTGGTAAGTAAAAAAGAACTAAGCGCAGACTTTCATTTAAAAGTCTGTGCTTAATTCTTAGTTCTAGAAATCCACCCTTCATTACTACAAACGATAATTTGTAGAAATCCAGCCTGATATCTGGACAGAGTTGAATATACGCGTTTTTCATCTTCGTCAGCTTATTTAATAATATAAAAATAATAATAACTTTATTTATTTTTCTCGAACAATCTACATGTTACATCTTATAATTAAAAACAATATTAGGATATTTCATAAGATTGCGAGAGACTGGTACCTGAACTAAGCGAAAGCTTGTATCTCAGTGCACCAGTACCCTCCTCTTTGTAAGGTGACCGTTTTATCTTATCTTAACAAAGTAAGTTTCTATATATAAAAATACCTATAGGAGAATATATAATATACCACATATATCCAAACAATGACTTCATTTACAATGATCGGTACTAGAGCCAATACAAATTTGTATTAAGTTCATTACAAAGCACATTTTTATGGAAGAAGCAGAATTTAATGCCCCTAAGTGTACGGCCAGAGTGCACTCAGATTCAAATTCAGACTCAGAAAACAAGCGCGAGAAATAAACAGTGTAGTTTAAGCAGGGTGGCCATAGTGGCAGCAGGCAGCCTGCTTAAACTACACTGTATATTTCTCGCTCTTGTTTTCTGAGTCTGAATTTGAATCTGAGTGCACTCTGGCCGTACCCTAATGCCGGGGTACAGGCTTTCTCTATGGATGCTGTAGGGAGAATAGTTTATGATCCACCATGCCCACTGAATGCGTAGAACTCACCACACCACGCCCACTCAGTGCGGACTTAACGATTGCAGATGAAACTGGGTCCAACGGTTTCCGAAGTACGAAGGAGCTCCAAAGAATCAGTGATTGATCTCCCATTCAAGTACCGGCCATTGTCAACATTGCATAACTTCGAGCGAACCACCTTTTAAATATAATTTGACGACCTCCGTGGCCGAGTGGTTTGTACGCCGGGTTACATGGTGGCGCCGACTCGAGAGGTCCCGGGTTCGAATCCCGGTGGGGGCAGATGTTTGTGTGATGAATACGAGCATTTGTACTCCAGTCATGGATGTTAAATATGTATTTCTATATAAATATACTTATATATGTACAGTATATGTATTCTATCCGTTACCCTAGCATCCCATAACACAAGCCTTACAGTGCTTACTTTGGGGCTAGGGTAATTGGTGTGAGTGTTGAAAATATTAAATTATTAAATAATATTGTTTTTGCAAATTTGCTTTGATAAAAATATAGCAGTTTATCTCATAAATAAAATACAGACTTTGGCATTGTAAGCAAGGTAGGCCATAATATTACAAGTAGTCCATCCAATCGAGTTCACCTTGTCTTTGTGATGTGAAATGGATGTGGATCTCCGCGTCTGTTTTGCCGTGGACGACCAGTACTTGTTCCCTTATAGGGATTGGGTATGGTATTATATACCAGTCCCTCGTGGAGTTTACGACAGTAAATATCCCTGTTGTTGTAGGGTGTACGACCAGTACTCGTTGGCTATAATACCAGTCCCTCGTGTAGAGTTTACGACAGTAAATATCCTCGTTGTTGTAGGGTGTACGACCAGTTCTCGTTCCCTATAATACCAGTCCCTCGTGTAGAGTTTACGACAGTAAATATCCCCGTTGTTGTAGGGTGTACGACCAGTACTCGTTCCAAGTGATCCCGGTGCTGGGGCAGCTGCTGGCGGGCCAGTGGAGGCCCTACCAGTACCTGGTGGAGAGCATACGACAATTCCCCGATCAGGTATGTCAATTTGAGACCTTACGGGAAGAGCTTGCGAATTTTCTTATTAGTGCAGTTGGATTTTTGGGAGTGTCTTTCTACTTCAGCTACGCTCACATACTGGTAGCAGCGCGAGGACATGAGGCCATGAGATCGATAGTGGCCTAACTCATTTTTTTACAATATTGAGTTTGATTTTTTCCAGTTCAAACTGATCATTTTGATAGAACCAGAGTGGTCTAAAAGTGATACAACGAATATTCACTAGATGGCAGCATAATCACTGTTACGGTTTTTAGTCTGTGATCTAAATTTGAGGTGCCATACTAGCCTAAGTAAGATAGGCCACTATGGTTAAAAAATGAGTTAGGCCACTATGGTTCTCATGGCCTCTTAACAGTCCGAGTTCGGTAATATAGGCCTTACTTGCATTTAGCCTTGGCATTCAAAGCCTCTCAGAAGTATACAAAATAACTTGTTTATTTAGTGCCGTGGTAACGAAATTGTCTTAGTTTCAGGAATACTTAACTTTGCAAAACGTCTGGGTCGTAAAATGTACAAGTATGCAGAATGAATCAATCTACTATATAAAAATAAGTCGGGTTTTCCTTCCTGACGCTATAACTCCAGAACGCACGAACCGATTTCCACGGTTTTGCATTCGTTGGAAAGGTCTCGGGCTCCGTGGGGTTTATAGCAAAGAAAATTCAGGAAAAATTATAAAAAAAAATCTTCTTTTAATCACCAAACGAAATGTTACATAAAAAGAAGCCATCTGGTGGCGAAACGGAGTTCGCCGGGTTTGCTAGTATTGTATAAAGTTTTGATTAGTTGGTTGGTCTTGGTTATCCAGATTATTTAATTATTAAAACATTATGACGTTAAGTCGTTTTACAGGCAAGTCATTCCGTCTACTATGGCAATGATGACTTTTAAATAGCAAAAGATCTAAAGAAAATATAACTAGAAAAAATCCACGCGGTTCATGCCGCAGACAGGACTCGAACCCCGCACCCTTCGCTATCCGGGCGAATGCACTGACCAATTATGCTACCGCAGCCCTGATGGCCGCGTCGAAATTCTTCTAGCCATTCTTAAGCTGCAAGGCAGCGCCATCTCTTCGCATTGTAGGTAACCCACAATGTCAAATGAATACTTTTACAAGTATTAAACAATTGAAAGAAGAAATAGCAATAATGATTATATTTTTTTATTTTTATTTTTTAAGCATGTAACTGCTTGATGTTTAAATCTAAAGAAAAAAAAAATAGCGCCCGGATAGCGAAGGGTGCGGGCTCGAGTCCTGTCTGCGGCATGAACCGCGTGGATTTTTTCTAGTTATATTTTCTTTAGATTTAAACATCAAGCAGTTACATGCTTAAAAAATAAAAAAAAAAAAAATAGCAAAAGATTTTACTATTCGGACAATAATACCACCAAGGTGCTCTGCTCGCCAAGTGAGGCATTCAGTATCCTTCTTCAGTTCCGAACCTGTTATTCCTTGTTCTACTCTTCAGTAAAAGTACCAAAAATCTTTAATTCTATGTCCTGGTGGTCTGAGGAGCAGGAGGAAACGCCCGATTTTTTACCCAGCAGAATACCTAGTAATGTCAATAGGGTATTCATCATCATCATCATCAGCCTATTAATGTCCCCACTGCTGGGGCACAGGCCTTCCCTATGGATGGAATAGAGAGATTGGGCCATGACCCACCACGCGGGCCCAGTGCGGATTGGTGGGTGCTAACGACTGCAGATGCAGCCGGGACCAACGGCTTAACGTGCCTTCCGAAGCACGGAGGAGCTCGAGATAGTAATTTTTGGTCACCCATCCAATGACCGACCACTGCGAAAGTTGCTTAAATTCAACGATCGCAGCCGAACGCGCTAACCACTTGCGCCATCGAGCTCCTCGGGTATTTGACAAGTTTTAAAAAAACGATCTCCATTAATGTTTATGGAGTCCGTAAAATATATTATAGATAAAATAATAGATATTCATCATTCTATTGTACATTTCAGTAAAAATAACCAAATCAAAAACTCCATTTTCAATTTGCCGCGAAAACGTTTCTCTGGACAATATGGCGTCTTACTAGTGTGTGACGTCACACGACTGTTATTAAAACGTCAAACGATACTATGTAATCACTTTGACCGGAAGTTTACTTGCGTGTGACGTCATTTTAGGCTCCGCCAATCCGAAGCGTTTTGGGTCACGTGGCAATAGATAAGAAAACTATTATCTTTTTCGTGGGAAAATTATGTTTTTTTTTTTTGCAAAAATAGTAAAATCCCCTGCCAATATTCATTCTAAACACAAATGCTGCAGATATTTTTAATACTGTCAAACACCCTATTGTACTTATAAGACCTTTTTATTTATTAGATCATTTGTGTATAAATATGTATACTGAAACTTGACGTAATAGCAGATTTACATTTCATTTAAAAGCTTTTCCATTATTTGTTATTTCTGTTCAAAACATAAGATAAATTAAAATATTTGCTACTAACTTACATGTGTATCAAACATTTATGAGAAAACACCATACGCATGTGATACATATTGACACAGTAGTTCGGTACAATCTAAGCACCTTAAAGACGACACTGCCAGTACCTTCACTTAGACTTTGGCTGGACTGGCAAGAAAAAACCGTTGACGCTGAGTCAGCTGTGGCATGTCAGCGAGATTGCGCCAGTTACTGTCTTAAAGGCAGCCAATAGGCGTCATCCAGGAGTAAACTGCCGATACCTATTCACCATTCTTCCCATATGATCTGTAGTGATATGCTTATCTCTTGTGTGCAAATGGATGATTTCTGCCAGGAGTTGCGGAATTATTTATTATTATCATATTTAATATTTTTTATTTTATCATAATTTAGTAATGGTTTTTAATTTACACGTCTAATATATAGATAAGTTTGTAGAGAAACTATTCAGGAATGATTTCAGACATAAATGAATCGCTTTTATTAATCAAATATAAAGGTTCCTTACTTTGTAAAAACGGTAGACAAGAGAGAGCGGCCCAGTGTTGCCAACTACCATAGACAATACATCACATGGAGGATGTACTCTAATAATAAGAGGAAAATCGATCGGAAAACTTTTTGATTTTCCGGCCGTGAAAAACAAAGTAGATGGCTACAGAGCCAAAGAGGTCATGATTATAATAATTATTAATAACATTTGTTTCCACAGGAAAAGTTCAAAGCCATGATAGAAGACGCAGGCTTCAGACAAGTCACCTACGAGAACCTCACCTTCGGCACCTGTGCCATACACTCTGGCTTTAAGATATGAAGAATCAATTTTTAATAGTCCTAGGTAGCATTTTTATAAAATGAACAAATAAAACAAGCTTTACCTTTCAAATGTTTTATTAAGTCCATCAAACTGTGTTGGTCTTCGGAATGCAAATCCATTACCTTAAATTACATTACCATTCGTAAAACTATGATATTTATTTCGACACGACACCTTAGAGCCGTACACATCATTATTATGATACAATTTCTGTGATTCTAGTCTAAATCGCACAATATTATTATAATAAAAATTTCCAGTTTCATCAACTTATCGTTTACAATATCGTCTAATTAAAATGCTAGGTCAATCTTAAAAGTGTACATTCTATCATCTGTCGCCCGTCTCTGTTCACTCGGTGAAGCTCGTTAAAGCATGCTAGATGTTTGATTATGACACATAGTTAGATCTCAACGCAACTAGAGCAAAGCCGACTCACTCGCCTGACCGCGTCCTAACTTCTACAAAAAATAAAACTCCAGACATCGAGAAGCAAAGTAAAGTGTGAGCGAGGATATATTCAAAAAACAAACATTAATAAATGGGTTCTCTCTTGTACCGAGCGTGCACTCAACATTAAGTTATTTTGCAATAATTTCAAAATCATACCCAAAGATCCATGATCCCTGCCGGTCCGGTAGATCCAGTCCGATCCGAATTCCAAACGGTTTCCAAGCGCGCACAATCCAAAAGAGTTTAGTTTTTTTGTTTTAATTCCTTTTAATGCCACGATTATGACACGACAGTCTATGCCACTAAGTGCAGACAGACCAGATCCTTGCTGCGAGCGAGATCCTTCGGTACGATCCAGAAATCCGAGCGTATAAATATCCATAGACTCACACCTCCAGCCAAGCACATCCAACGAGCCAATCCACAGTGGATGAAACAAAAGAAAATGCTTTTATTATATGAGTCATTTTATAATTATAACAATTATCATACTTTAAACACATACCGAATCGCATAGTCAATTTCTTTGCATTAAAACCAAAACCAATTCATGGATCCGACACTCGTGCGCACAACGTTTACAAAACATTACAAGTTACATAGCCTATATATACTGATAACGAGAACGCAACACGCAACGAGTTGCCAGCGTATATGAATAAATACTGGTTACATATTATTTATATTTATTAGCAAGAAATATTAAAAAGTGATGTAGAAATGAACTAAGAGATTCAGCGTTTGATTCGGACGACATTATTATTACATAACGCAAGTGCGGGCGCGGCCGAGCCCAGCGGTATACTCAGCAGTCGCGCTGCAGTCAAATTACTGGGATGTCCCTTTCGCAAAACATTGTAAATCAATTTATCGTCACAAATACAGTTAAAGACTTTTCTTACAGAAAATTGTAATTTTGTTTATTCAATGGAAAGTTTTGAACATTGGAAATGCTATGTGTAATGTCACCGATAACGCGCGAAACACTTTTTAAACTCATGAATACTGGAAATCGATTTATCGTCATAAATAAATCTATTAGGAGATCGTAACTAACCTCTCGAGCAACGACCGTAGACGAGGAAGCCTGCGCAGGAGCAATTTTACAGACATAAAAGTCTACTACTGTGCAAGTTTATTAGTTTTGCCGACGACCTGCTAGTAGAAATTCTTTTAAAAGAAGGTAGAGAAATCCCAATAATTGAGGTACGGTGCCACCGGTGAGTATACAGGGGGGTTCTTTTCGCGTCTAAGTATGGTATACAGGGTGCGCGGTGTCGGAGGCGCGGCGACGGCGGGTGGCATCCCCCTCCCCCTGCCCCTGGCCCTGCCCCTGCCCCTGCCCCCGGGCGGCTGTCGATAAGCGATAAACATCACCGTCAGTCATCGCGGCACCAGCGGAATAATAAACGACAGTTTTGATAGCATTTAGAAAGTCAGCGAGGCTCCCAGACTGCAGTTAGCGACTAAACTAAGAGTTAGCGCACAATAGAGCCCCTAAACACGACCACCGGTGGATCAGTCAACATACAATAGTACAATAGTAAATCTATGTTTACCGTTCGTGAGAATGACTACTCTACTATATTTTAAGAAACGTAACAATGGATATTATTGGTGAAACCAATATATAATATAGTTATGTTTTTATTTTATTTTCAGCATTTAACTGCTAGATGTTTAAATCTAAAGAAAAGTTTACTAGAAAAAAATCCACGTGGACCAGGCAGCGGACGGGACTCGAACCCGAACCCTTCGCAATCCGAATGCACTGACCATTATGCTACCACGGCCCTATTAGCCGCGTCGAAATTTTCCTAGCCTTAAGCTGCAAGCTTAATAGGGCCGTGGTAGCATAATGGTCAGTGCATTCGCCCGGATTGCGAAGGGTGCGGGTTCGAGTCCCGTCCGCTGCCTGGTCCACGTGGATTTTTTTCTAGTAAACTTTTCTTAAGAAAATATAACTAGAAAAAATTCCACGCGGACCAGGCAGCAGACGGGACTCGAACCCGCACCCTTCGCAATCCGGGCGAATGCACTGACCAATTATGCTACCGCGGCCCTCACGGACCGCGTCGAAATTCTTTCTAGCTATTCTTAAGCTGCAAGGCAGCGCCATCTCTTCGCATTATAGGTAAACCCACAATGTCAAACGAATACTTTTACAAGTATTAAACATTTGAAAGAAGAAATAGCAATTATAGTTATAATTTTTATTATTTTTAAAGCATGTAACTGCTTGATGTTTAAATCTTAAGAAAATATAACTAGAAAAAATTCCACGCGGACCAGGCAGCAGACGGGACTCGAACCCGCACCCTTCGCAATCCGGGCGAATGCACTGACCAATTATGCTACCGCGGCCCTCACGGACCGCGTCGAAATTCTTTCTAGCTATTCTTAAGCTGCAAGGCAGCGCCATCTCTTCGCATTATAGGTAAACCCACAATGTCAAACGAATACTTTTACAAGTATTAAACATTTGAAAGAAGAAATAGCAATTATAGTTATAATTTTTATTATTTTTAAAGCATGTAACTGCTTGATGTTTAAATCTTAAGAAAATATAACTAGAAAAAATTCCACGCGGACCAGGCAGCAGACGGGACTCGAACCCGCACCCTTCGCAATCCGGGCGAATGCACTGACCAATTATGCTACCGCGGCCCTCACGGACCGCGTCGAAATTCTTTCTAGCTATTCTTAAGCTGCAAGGCAGCGCCATCTCTTCGCATTATAGGTAAACCCACAATGTCAAACGAATACTTTTACAAGTATTAAACATTTGAAAGAAGAAATAGCAATTATAGTTATAATTTTTATTATTTTTAAAGCATGTAACTGCTTGATGTTTAAATCTTAAGAAAATATAACTAGAAAAAATTCCACGCGGACCAGGCAGCAGACGGGACTCGAACCCGCACCCTTCGCAATCCGGGCGAATGCACTGACCAATTATGCTACCGCGGCCCTCACGGACCGCGTCGAAATTCTTTCTAGCTATTCTTAAGCTGCAAGGCAGCGCCATCTCTTCGCATTATAGGTAAACCCACAATGTCAAACGAATACTTTTACAAGTATTAAACATTTGAAAGAAGAAATAGCAATTATAGTTATAATTTTTATTATTTTTAAAGCATGTAACTGCTTGATGTTTAAATCTTAAGAAAATATAACTAGAAAAAATTCCACGCGGACCAGGCAGCAGACGGGACTCGAACCCGCACCCTTCGCAATCCGGGCGAATGCACTGACCAATTATGCTACCGCGGCCCTCACGGACCGCGTCGAAATTCTTTCTAGCTATTCTTAAGCTGCAAGGCAGCGCCATCTCTTCGCATTATAGGTAAACCCACAATGTCAAACGAATACTTTTACAAGTATTAAACATTTGAAAGAAGAAATAGCAATTATAGTTATAATTTTTATTATTTTTAAAGCATGTAACTGCTTGATGTTTAAATCTTAAGAAAATATAACTAGAAAAAATTCCACGCGGACCAGGCAGCAGACGGGACTCGAACCCGCACCCTTCGCAATCCGGGCGAATGCACTGACCAATTATGCTACCGCGGCCCTCACGGACCGCGTCGAAATTCTTTCTAGCTATTCTTAAGCTGCAAGGCAGCGCCATCTCTTCGCATTATAGGTAAACCCACAATGTCAAACGAATACTTTTACAAGTATTAAACATTTGAAAGAAGAAATAGCAATTATAGTTATAATTTTTATTATTTTTAAAGCATGTAACTGCTTGATGTTTAAATCTTAAGAAAATATAACTAGAAAAAATTCCACGCGGACCAGGCAGCAGACGGGACTCGAACCCGCACCCTTCGCAATCCGGGCGAATGCACTGACCAATTATGCTACCGCGGCCCTCACGGACCGCGTCGAAATTCTTTCTAGCTATTCTTAAGCTGCAAGGCAGCGCCATCTCTTCGCATTATAGGTAAACCCACAATGTCAAACGAATACTTTTACAAGTATTAAACATTTGAAAGAAGAAATAGCAATTATAGTTATAATTTTTATTATTTTTAAAGCATGTAACTGCTTGATGTTTAAATCTTAAGAAAATATAACTAGAAAAAATTCCACGCGGACCAGGCAGCAGACGGGACTCGAACCCGCACCCTTCGCAATCCGGGCGAATGCACTGACCAATTATGCTACCGCGGCCCTCACGGACCGCGTCGAAATTCTTTCTAGCTATTCTTAAGCTGCAAGGCAGCGCCATCTCTTCGCATTATAGGTAAACCCACAATGTCAAACGAATACTTTTACAAGTATTAAACATTTGAAAGAAGAAATAGCAATTATAGTTATAATTTTTATTATTTTTAAAGCATGTAACTGCTTGATGTTTAAATCTTAAGAAAATATAACTAGAAAAAATTCCACGCGGACCAGGCAGCAGACGGGACTCGAACCCGCACCCTTCGCAATCCGGGCGAATGCACTGACCAATTATGCTACCGCGGCCCTCACGGACCGCGTCGAAATTCTTTCTAGCTATTCTTAAGCTGCAAGGCAGCGCCATCTCTTCGCATTATAGGTAAACCCACAATGTCAAACGAATACTTTTACAAGTATTAAACAT